TTACTGATAACATAAACAGTTGATTAACACAATTTTGTGTGCTATATGTATTATACTCTTACAGTAAAGTAAGCTAGAGAAAAGAAATGCTATCAGGAAAATCATAAGAAAAAGTGTTTACTATTCATTACGTGGAAGTGGATCATCATAAAGATCTTCATCCTTGTCATCTTCATGTTGAGTAGGCAGAGGATGAGGAAGAGGAGGAAAGGGGTTTGGTCTTGCTGTCTTGAGGTAGCACAGTCAGAAGAAATTTCATGTATCAGTGGACCTGTGCAGTTCACACCTGTGTTGTGGGGTCAGCTGTATTTTCATCACCCCCAAAAAAGAAACCCTATATCCATTAGCAGTCACTCCTGATTTCCCCCTATACATTTGGCTATTCTAGACATTGCATATAGATGGGATTATACAACGTGTGGTCTTTTGTAACTAGCTTTTCTCACTTGGCATGTTTTCAAGGTTCATCCATGTTATAGCATATATTGGTACTTTATTTCTTATAATGCCAAATCATATTCCATTGTATGGAATTTTATGTATCCATCCATCAGTGGATGGATATTTGGGTTATTTCCACTTTGGACTACTATGAATAACGCTGCTATGTATATTCATATACAAGTTTTTGTGTGGGACGAATCTAGGAGTGAAATTGCCGTATCATATGACTCTTTTCCAGTGTATGCACTATTGTACATTCCCACTAACAATGTACGAGGGTTCTGGTTGCTCCACATCCTAGCAGACTCTTGTTATTGTCTGTCTTTTTGATAATAGCTATCCTAATGAGTGTTAAGTGATATCTCATTGTAGTTTTTATTTGCATTTCCATGATGGCTAATGGCCATTTCCTTATCTTCTTTGAAGTAATGTCTGTTTAGATCCTTTACCGATTTTTTTTTTTTTAAGACAGAGTTTTGCTCTGTCGCCTAGGCTGGAGTGTGGTGGCACTGTCTCGGCTCACTGCAACCTTCACCTCCTGAATTCAAGCAATTCCCTGCCTGACACCCCTTGTTTCTCCTTTAAGCTTTGAGTGCAGAGACCCAGGACATTCAGAATTCAGCCACAGGTGCTCAGGGAGTACTGGGTGGCTCTGGCCTGGGTTCTCGAAGTTTTAGAAGCCACTCACTCACAATGTCTGGCCCATCCAAAGCCCAGGCCCTTGGCAGCTCATACTTTGGTGTCTCCTTGGGTATAAAGAAAACAGTGTCAGGCTGGGCACAGTGGCTCATGCCTGTAATCCCCACACTTTGGGAGGCTGAATTGGGTGGATCACCTGAGGTCAGGAGTTCGAGACCAGCCTGGCCAACATGGTGACACCCCATCTCTATTTAAAAAAAAAAAATATATATATATATATATGTATATATATATATATATATAAAATTAATAAATAAAATAGCATCAATAATTACATATCTTATCCTTGGCTTCCTTTTTCTCCATGACCCTGCAAGTCACCCTGGGTGGTGTCTGGGGTAGTTGGGCTTTACTGTTCTTTCGCACTGAGAGAGGGGACGAAAGACCCCTGCAACACCACCTGTGAGCTGCATGGTTCTATGTGGGCCACCTACTGTGGCCTCACCTCACACATGGGCTGTGTAGACCAGAGCCAGAGAAAGCTAAAGCTGCTCATAACCTAGGGATAAACACAGTTGACAATGGTCCCTGTCCTTCCAGAACTTTTATTTCATGAAAATACGTGGGCTTATTTATAAGTGTGTGTTGAGGGTGTCATTTGTTTTTAACAGGCTAGGCTCATGCTCTGTCAGCTCAACAAATATTTACTTAGCTACTATATGCCAGGCACTGTTTTATATAACTGAAAATAATACTGTAACTTGCTGTTTTTGCTTAAAAGCATAAAATCCTTCCACATCAGTACATATGATCTCCATTATTATTGACAGTCATGTGGTATTCCACAGCATGGCAGTATCACAACTCCAGAATTTCCTTAACTAATTTTGGACATTCACATTGTCTCCATATACTTTCCATTATAAATAATGCTGCAGTGAATACCTTTGTCATATAACCTTGAGCACATTTGTAAATATTTCTAATAGACTCTAGGCTTTCAGCTTAGGAGCAAATGTACTGGCTGGGCATGGTGGCTCATGCCTGTAATTCCAGCACTTTAGGAGGCTGAGACAGGAGGATCACCTAAGGTAAGGAGATCAAGACCAGCCTGGCCAACATGGGGAAACCCCGTCTCTACTAAAAATACCAAAATTAACTGGACATGATATGTGCCTGTAGTGCCAGCTCCTCAAGAGGCTGAGGCAGGAGAATCACTTGAACCTGGGAGGGGGAGGTTGCAGTGAGCGCCACTGCAGTCTAGCCTGGGGACAAAGCGAGACTCTGACTCAGATAATAATAAAGTAAAATGAAGTGAATATGCTGAATATTCTTTTTTTTTTGAGACAGGGTCTTGCTTTGTCACCCAGATGGCAGTTCAGTGATGTGATCTCAGCTCACTGCAACCTCTGCCTCCCAGGTTCCAGTGATCCTCCCATTTCAGTCTCTCAAGTAGCTGGGATTACAGGTGCAGGTCACCATGCCCAGCTAATTTTTGTGTTTTTAGTAGAGACAGGGTTTCACTGTGTGCCTAGGCTGGTCTGGAACTGTGTTTGTTGTTGTTGTTGTTGTTGTTTTCTGACATAGTCTCACTCTGTCACCCAGGCTAGAGTGCAGTGGCATGATCCAAGCTCACTGCAAACTCTGTCTCCCAGGTTCAAGCGTTTCTCCTGCCTCAGCCTCCCAAATAGCTGGGATTACAGATGTGGGCCACCACGCCCAGCTAATTTTGTATTTTTAGTGGAGACAGGGTTTCACCATGTTACCCAGTTATTCTCAAACTTCTGATCTCAAGCGATCCACCTGCCTCGGCCTCCAAAAGTGCTGAGATTACAGGAGAGAGCCACCACACCCTGCCTAATATTCTTGTTGTATATAGGTGCTATGGTTTGAATATTTGAACCTCCAAAACTCTTGTTGAAACTTAATCTCCAGTGTGGCAGTATTGGGAGGTGGGGCCTTTAAGAGGTGACTGGATAAAGAGGGAATGAGGACTCTTCTCTCACAGATGGGTTCTTCCATTCATAAATTCATGGATTAATGGGTTCTTGTAGGAGGGGAGCTGGTGGGTTTATAGGAAAAGGAAGAAAAACCTGAACTAGCACATTAACACGCTCAGCCCCTCACCATGTGGTGCTGTGCACTGCCTTGGGATGCTGCAGAGTTCCCACCAGCAAGAAGGCTCTCACCGTATACAGCCCCTTGACCTTGGACTTCTCAGCTTCCATAAGTGTAAGAAATACACTTCTTTTCTTAATAAATTGCTCAGTTTTAGATATTCTATTATAAGCAGCAGAAAACAAGTCTAAGATACCAGGTATCCAGATTGTACCCATTCATTCTGCTGCTCCTAGTGTACTCCCCTACTCCGTATGGCCTGTCTTCAGTAATTTTGTTAGTTTGATAGATGAAAATGGGCAATTATCTTTTCAACAGAAATAGGCCTCAGCAGTTGATACTGACTGAGCAGTTTACAGCCTTCAGCACAGGGCACTTCTAGAGTGTAAACCGAGAGAGGCAAAGCTCTGGCCACTCTCATGGGGAAGATTCAGATCTGGCTACAGTTGAGCGGTCGGTCCTGTACTTTCACACACTTGGTCTTCTTTCTCCCTCACCACCACACTCTAAGGTAAATATCATTATCTAATTTTTACAGATGAGGAAACAGTCCAGAGAGACTGACTTCTCCAAATCAAAAATTTAAGAAGTAACAGCCCGGGGGGAGGGGTCTGAGAGTAAAGGGAAGAGTAGCAGAGGCGAGGCCATCATTAACCCTGGAGCTTGTGTGGAGCCAGGGCTGGGTCTCAAGGCCAGGCCAGACCAAGGGAGGAGTGGAGGAGAAAATGATATGAAATTCTTTGCCATGGGCTACAAGCTGTGAAATCTGTTTTGCCTATGCTCAGGGCTTGTCCTGGTTGGGCATAATGTAGAGGCTGCAAAGAGTCCAGGGCCCTCAAATCCAGGGAGGGGAAGCCCCAGGTCTGGTAAAACAGAGGGGAGAATGCGCAGGGACGTTACCCTGCTGATGGCGGAGGTGTATTGGAGTTCATTATATAGGCTCAGGCCTTGTCCACAAGCTAATGGGAAACTTCTTCCATCCCCTTAGCTGGGCTGCCCAAAGCCCTTAGTGCAGATCCCATTTCTCAAAAACCTAAATTAAAAACAAGGTAAAGTACAAGAAAACCCCTGAACAGTCCTCTTTGCATAATGGTGGCTCTGAGCCTGGGAGTTCGAAGGACAGACTTGTGTCTAACCACTTCTGGCTTCAGCATGTGCTGACTGGTCCTCAGCGCTTGGCATTCTGAAGAAGTATTTTCAGCAGTCTCTGGGTGGGGAGACAGTAGGCAGCTAAGTGCCTTTCTCTGGAGATTCTGTTCCCCAGCGAAGGCCACCTCACCTCAAGCGGGCAGGCTTCCAGGGTCACAGAAACCTCTGTGGACCTACACGTACAAGAGGAGCAGCTGCTCTGCAGGTGGCTTCATTTCAGCCCCTTTTCCCACATAACTTGGTGTACAATATGCTACTCTCCTTTGCCAGGGGTCTGAAGGGGAAGCTTAACATCATGGCAGCATTACTGGACTGGTGGTTTGCCAGTGTTTTCAGACGACAGAGGTCCAAAGAATACAGAAAAAGGCCTTGCATCCTGAACCTGGTAAAACTGTGGCCCAGGATCCCAGGAAAAGAATACACATTTTTTATTTGTAAAAATAGTACAAATAATAGAAACCATATTCTTTGGTTGGTTATGTGTTTATTCTTAGGAAATGCATATATATGCAGAGAGAGAAAGCAGAGGAAGAGAGAGTACAAATACGTGCAAATGTAGTAACATCAGTAAATCTGGGGAAAAAGTATTTGGAAATTCCTTATACATTCAACTTTTCTGAAGTTTGAAACTGTATCAAAATGAAAAGGGAGTACTCTCTTCTGCAGTGCATATACAAAATTTGGAACATACAGAGATTAGCATGGCCCCTGTGCAAGGATGATCGGATGGTTTGGATGTTTTGTCCCTTCCAAATCTCACATTAAAATGTGACCTCAGGCCAGGCGCTGTGGCTCATGTCTGTAATCCCAGCACTTTGGGAGGCCAAGGCAGGTGGGATCAGGAGTTTAAGACCAGTCTGGCCAACATGATGAAACCCCATCTGTACTAAAAATACAAAAAAATGAGCCAGCCATGGTGGCACATGCCTGTAATTCTGGCTACTCAGGAGACTGAGGCAAGAGAATCGCTTGAACCTGGGAGGTGGAGGTTGCAATGAGGGAGATGACGCCATTACACTCCATGTAATGGAAGCAAGAGTGAAACGCCATATCCCCCCCAAAAAAAGGCCAGGCACAGTGGCTCAAGCCTGTAATCCCAACACTTTGAGAGGTCAAGGCGGCTGGATCACAAGGACAAGAGATCAGGACCATCCTGGCTAACATGGTGAAACCCTGTCTCTACTAAAAATACAAATAGTTAGCTGGGCGTGGTGGCACACGCCTGTAGTCTCAGCTGCTCAGGAGGCTGAGGCAGGAGGATCGCTTGAGCCTGGGAGCCGGAGGTTGTAGTGAGCAGAGATTGTGCCATTTCACTTCAGCCTGGGTGACAGAGCAAGACTCCGTCTAAAAAAAAAAAGTGACCTCCAATGTTGGAGGTGGGCCTAATGGGAGATGTTTGGGTTATGGAAGCGGATGCCTCATGAATGGCTTGGTGCTGTCCTCAACAGTAGTCAGTGAGCTCTCATTCTGAGTTCATGTGAGATCTAGTTGTTTAAATGAGCCTGGCACTTTCTCTCTCTCTCTCTCTCTCTCTCTCTCTCTCTCTCTCTCTCTCTCTCGCTCTCTCTCTCTCTCTCTCTCTCTCTCTCTCGCGCTCTCTCTCTCTCGCTCTCGCGCTCTCTCTCTCTCTCTCTCTCTCTCTCTCTCTCTCTCTCTCTCTCTCTCTTTCTCTCCCCCTCTCTCTCTCGGTCCCTCTCTTGCCATATGACACACTAGGACCACTTTGCCCTCCACCATGATTGTAAGCTTCCTGAGGCCTTACGAGCAGCAGATGCTGGTGCCGTGCTTCTCATACAGCCTGCAGAACCATAAGCCGAATAAACCACTTTTCTTTATAAATTACCCAGTCTAAGGAATTCCTTTATTATTTTTATTTTTTCGAGACAGGGCCTTACTCTCACCCAGGCTGGAGTACAGTGGCACAGTCTTGGATCACTGCAACCTCTGACTCCTGGGCTTAAGTGATCCTCCTACCTCAGCCTCTTGGGTAGCTGGGATTACAGGTGTGTGCCACCATGCCTGGCTAATTGTTGTATTTTTTGTAGAGACAGCATTTCTCTAAGACCACGTTCCCCAAACTGGTCTTGAACTCCTGAGCTGAAGCGATCCACCCACCACAGCCTTCAAAAGTGCTGAGTTTACAGGTGTGAGCCACCTCACACCTGGCCAGGTATTCCTTTAGAGTGATGCAAAGTGGACTAATACAGATGACATGCAAATTTGTGAAGTGTTCCATACTTTTTACTGCATGTTCTCATTTATAAGTGGGAGCTAAATAATGTGTACACATGAACATAGTAGAGTGTTCATGGAGACTCGGGAGCATAGGAAGGTGGGAAGACATTGGAGGCTTTGGAGGATAGGAGGGTGTGAAGTGGATGAAGGATGAGAAATCAAAGGGTACAATGTGCATTATTTAGATGATTGCTACACTAAAAGCCAATACTTCACCACTGTGCAATATATCTATGTAACAAAACTCCACCTGTACCCCTTAAATTTACATAAACATATATATATAATTTTTTTTTTTTTGAGATGGAGTCTCACTCTATTGTCCAGGCTGGAGTGCAGTGGCGGGATCTTGGCTCACTGCAACCTCTGCCTCCTGGGCCCAAGTGATTCTGCTGCTTCAGCTTTCTGAGTAGCTGGGATTACAGGCGTGCGCCACCACACCCAGCTAATTTTTGTATTTTTGTAGAGACAGGGTTTCACCATGTTGGCCAGGATGGTCTCAAACTCCTGACCTTGTGATCCTCCCGCCTCGGCCTCCCAGAATGCTGGGATTACAGGGGTGAGTCACTGCGCCTGGCCTAATTTATATTTTTAAAAAGTAGCAAAAAGAAGAATTACAAAAACCAAAGGAGCATTGTTAGGTAAATTAATCTTCATTCCCACCAGACTAGCCCAAGCATGGGTTTAAATTTTGCATAGATTTTGATTTTTGTTGTCGTTGTTAGAGATAGGGCCTTGTCACTTTGGAGGCCAAGGCAGGCGGATCACCTGAGGTCGGGAGTTCAAGAGCAGCCTCACCAACATGGTGAAACCCCGTCTTTAAAAAAAAAAAGAGAGAGAGATGGCCTTGCTTTGTCACCAAGGCTGGAATGCAAAGGCATGATCACCACTCACTGCAGGCTCAACTTCCTGAGCTCAAGCAATCCTCCTACCTCAGCCTCCAAAGTGGCTCGGACCATAGGCACATGCACCACACTTGGCTAATACTTTTTAAAGATGGGGTCTCACTAGGTTGCCCAGGATGCTCTCAAACTCCTGGCTCAAGCAATCCACCCATCTCAGCCTCCTAAAGATTTTGTGGATTTTTTTTAATATGAAAAGACATGTTATTATTAGTAGTACATACACCAGATTGCACTTTCTCCAATGGCAAATGAGGCACAGGGTAATATTTCTCTTTCATTCCCTGAGAACTTCAATATCATCTGTCTTCTGGAGGATCCAGTTTCTTCTGACATTTGTGATACTGTCCACAAGGATAGCAGCCATACTTAGTAGTAGAGAGCGTTTTGCAGAAAATTTTTAAAAAAAAGAAAGGAAAAATATATTGGATGCTGATTCAGAGAAGAAAATGAAAGAAAAAAAAAAGAACATTTTGCTACGTTGTTCTATTATGGGTTCTCGCTCAAGGTGTTCACTTTTTTCTTCTCTAGTTTTCGGCACTTGACCATGTGTTTCCTCATTATTACATACAGGATCAGGTCAAGGGATAGGTTTTGTGCATTCATATGGAATGTCTATAAAAGCATGGAAACATGCTATTCTCCTGCCATCAGATATCAAAGCAGAGTCTACTTTTCAATTATAGTCATCTGGAAAAGAAGAGTATGTAGATTTATGACAAACATAATATATGGCTCCATTTTGGATTGAAAATAAATGATTTCCAGATAGTTCTCTTTGATATCACCCATTTTACTGCTGCTGCCACCATGTAGCAAGATGCTTATCAGTTGGAATGAAAAAAGATGCTTCAAAGAGAATCTGCTTTTAAAATCTGCGTCTGGGCACATGAGTTTTCATCCCTGCTTAACAGCTCTTCAACATGAGCCCATCATCTTGTCTCCTTATTTTTGTATAGATCTTGAATTATTTTCACCCAGTTGTAATCATGGACACATTTGTAGTCTGCTTTTTTTTACTTAACTTTAGTTATAAACTGTTTTCCATACTGCTGCACATTCTTTGTAATTATCATTTTTATGATTTATAATTTTTTTTTTGAGACAGAGTCTCTCTTTCACCAGGTACCAGGCTGGAGTGCAGTGGCACAATCTCGGCTCACTGCAGCCTCTGCCTCACGGCTTCAAGCATTCTCCTGCCTCAGCCTCCTGAGTAGCTGGGACTACAGGCAAGCGCCACCACGCCCCCCTAATTTTTGTATTTTAGTATAGACGGAGTTTCACTATGTTGGCCAGGATGGTCTTGTTCGCTTGACCTCGTGATCCACCCACCTCGGCCTCCCACAGTGCTGGGATTACAGGCATGAGCCACCATGCCTGGCCATTTAATTCTTTAGTTGATTTTTGTTTTTTTTTTTTTTGAGACAGAGTCTCTGTCATCCAGGTTGGAGTGCAATGGCATGATAACAGCTCACTGTAGCCTTGACCTCCCGGGTTCAGGTGACCCACCTACCTCAGCCTGGCATGTGCCACCACGCCTGGCTATTTTTTTGTATTTTTTGTAGAGAGGGGGTTTCACTATGTTGCCCAGGCTGGTCTCAAATTCCTTTGCTCAAGTAATCCTCCTGCCTCAGCCTCTCAACGTGTTGGGATTACACGCATGAGCCATCATGCCTGGCCAATTTATAATATTATATGTCATAATTCATATTTTCTTGTTGGTGGGCATGTAAGAGGAAGAAGACACTGGTTAATCATGAGCTCTGTACCAGGTGCTGCCCACCACAGGCTATGTACAGGCATTATCTTGTTTGCCCCTCACTATCCTACTTAGCCCCAGGCTCTGTTCTAGAGTCTTGGGAACACATCAGCAAGTTAAATAGACAAACTGGAGCTTACATTCTACTCAGGGTCAGGGTCAGGGGGAGATATACAATTAAAAGTATACATAATGCTGAAGAATGAAATGTTGAAGGAGTTTAAATTTTGAAAGTGTTTGCTATATATACTTGTTCTGCATTATTATAAAGAGTTTTCATCATGTTTTTAAAACAAGGATATACATAATAAATAAGAAAAGTATGTGTTACATTAGAAGATGCCAAATGATATGGAAAAACAGCAGAGTAAGGAGAGTAATGGGTACAGGAGAAGGGAGTGTTTTCATTTTAAGTAGAGTAGTTGGGGTAAACCACACCGAGAAGTTAACATTCGAAGAATGACTTGATGAGAGCAATCCCTGAATAACACATGATAACACATGAACAAATACAATGACTTTTACGATACATTCTAACTATGCCATTAGGAGCCAGTCATTAGAAGGACTAAGATCCCAGGAGGGGCTGGTGAAACTTGTATATATTTACGTCATTGGCTAAAACATAAATCAGCCCAGTTCGTTCGTTCTCTCTCTCTCTCTCTCTCTCTCTCTCTCTCTCTCTCTCTCTCTCTCTCTCTCTCTCTCTTTTTCTTTTTTATAAAGATGGGGTTTCACCAGTTTGGTCAGGCTGGTCATGAACTCCCACCTCAGGTGATCTGCTCGTTTTGTCCTCCAAAGTGCTTGGATTACAGGCATGAGCCACCATGCCCAGACAGTCAGCCCAGTTCTTTTG